GCCAAGTTCGCACATCGCTGAGCTCAGTTGCAACATCGTTTTCAGTGTCTGATGACGAATTTCCCCACGAATCATTATCACTCAATTCTGCAAGTGGTTCTAATTTACTATCGCTGTTCTCTAGCTGGTCTAAAACTGCTTTTGACCTAAAGGGACGCTTTTTGGACGCCATGGACGTTTCTCAGTTTCCAGGCAGAAAGAACGGTAATAATGCAGGCAGGGCACAGGACAAAGCACTCGGGACAAAATGTATGTGAAATGGTTTGATACAGTAATGTTTTACTATGTGATTTTAGTGTATTTAGTGAATGCCACTTTTTCACATTTTTACAATTCCAACGTCGCAGGGGACAGGACCTGGAAGGCAGATGGCGGCATTGGCCGGAGGAGATGGCCGGGAACGCTGCAGGAGGGACATTGCGAAGGACAAGGTAAGTGAAGAAGGGATCCCGGAGCAACGCTGCAAGGTATTCCCAAGTGTAGCTTGGGGTTAGGGCTCGTTCACACTTGACTGTTTTCCAACTCTTGCCAAACGCCCCTATAGCATTTGACAAGCGTTGGTCCGGCGTTTGCGGATCGGTTTTTAACGCTCCGCAAATTCCGCATACACAGTTTAGCGGTGGTTGCTAGGCATTTAACAAGCATTAAAAATGCCCCACAAACGCCTATAATGAAATTTGAATGGTGTTAACGCTCCGCAACCGCACTGCAAATGCCGGCCGGGCGTTTGCGGAGCGGCACCATAGACTTGAATAGGAGGCTTCAACTCCTCCTGACTCGACCAGAGGTGTCCGTTTTGCCGCAACGCGACGCAACGCTAATGCTCCCGTGTGAACAGCACCATGAGCTGCAATGTGCAGAATTTTCACAGGCGTTTGGGCAACGGTAAAAAAACGCTTCCCAAACGCCTGTCTTCCGCTTGCAAACAAGGCTAGTGTGAACGTAGCCTTACCGCTTTTGGTGCTGAAACTTTACCCCGAGCTACACTCAGGAATACCGCCAGGAAGGGTAATGCAGATAAGGCACCAAATGAGTTAAATTTTCAGCTTATTCAGCCACAGAACCTGTGTAATTAACATGTGTTAGGTTTTAAAGAGATGAGGTGGCAACCCTACCTGTGAGTTCTGTGAGCACAAGATTTACCCCTCATGCATACGGGACGTTTTGATAACGCTGGTAATGTTAGCTGAGTAAAGTCATGTTAAAAATGTGAGTTTTTCAGCTTTTTTTAGCGTTTTTGCATTAGTGTTTAGCTGTGTTTTGCTGCGTTTAGCAGCGTTTTCCTGCGTTTTTACGCGTTTGCGGTTTTTAGCTTTTTTTGCATTTTTTTACCAAAAAAATAATTTTTGGGGGGTCAAAAAAACCTCCAAAAATGCCAATTTGCAGCGTTTTACCGTGTTTTTCAGCATTAGAGCTTTTTACAGCTAAAAAAACTCCTCTAGAACCCCACTAGTCCTGGGTTTTTTTCAGCCAAAAAATGGCCCAGCCAAAAAAACGTTGATTACAGTCTATGTGTGCATGGACACATAGGATAACATGCTGGGGAGTTTACTGGCTGTAGAGAAAAACACCAAAAGCCAAAAACAGCAGCTGTAAAAACGTCCAGTGTGCATGAGGACTTAATGGGAAGTCAGGTCGATTCTTGGCCTTTAACACAGCTACAGTGATTGCTGGACAGCACTAACTATTCACCTATTGCCCATGCCCTGGAACTGGTCTTTATCTAACAATTAAATGATTTCTGTTTACCTACCTACTTTACAGCACCCATTCCCCCTCCTAGGGCAAGAAAATCTGAAAGATCGTTTAAAAGGGCACTGTTATTATTATACATTTTTTTTTAAATAAGTTTGGTTGATTTTTAGCATGTTTTTTTGTTTGCTAATTTTATCATTACTGTAAGAGGATTCCTCACAAGCAGCCCACTCATATCCAAAGACACTGCTCCAATCCATGGAGATGAAAGCCTTCGTGGGGAGTAAGGGTTCTTAAGAACTATATTCGGCTGCAGGGCTGCCCTAAAATCGACCTGCACTTTGCCCATACAGGACAAAGAAGGAGGTTCAACTAAGGTACAACTGTCACTAGAAATCATGTGGGCTGCCATTGCTCCCCTCCACTCAGGAGGTATTTTCCAGAGTGTCATCCTGATGCTTTAGCTTTAACCACTTAAGTATCAGCCTATATATTCCTTCATTAGAAGGCTATTTTGCAGTTTTCAGTGCTATAATAGTTTGATTGACAACTACTGCAATAGTGTACCCTGTAGCCTGTAGTCAGGGCTGCTGATAGAAACTATGGGTCCCCATACAGCCAACCTCACAGCCCCCCCTTACAAAAAAAACACTGTTTACTATGCGTTAGTTATAAATGAACACAGTGAGTGATTGGTACCAATCACCTATTGTGTTCATTCAGGAAACAAGGGGGCTGGTAAATGTGACATATTTACCGGGCCCTTCCCCCATTCTCCATCCTCAAGGGTCCTATTGTGTGCTGCCGGTGGAAAGGAGAAGAGGGAAGATGGTAGCACTGTGCGGGTGGGGGCACACAGGGGGGCCTTGGCAGCAGCGGGAAACATATGGTGCACAGGGAGGGTGATGGGTGTGGAACAATTACTGGAACCGATCCTGTGTTTGGCTCTCTGCAGCAACTGCCAGTGGGAGGGAAAGGAGAAGAATCCAGCTTTCAGCTGCTGCAGAAGAGAGCCATACAGGGGATCAGTTCCAGTAATTGTTCCCCACACCGTGCCGATCACCCTCCCTGCCCACACCACATTCACCCAGCTGCCTGGGAACCCCGTTAGCCTGGGTGCCGTACAGGAGGACTGGTGGTACCCCCTTATCCACGGTCCTGCCTGTAGTAGGTGGGTCTGCTGCTCTTTACACTGGTTATGTACAGCGCACTGCTACTTTAGGGCCCATTCACACCAGAAACTACACATACTGTGCTTATTTAATGCACATTTGCATGCATTTGATGTGCATCAACTGTGTGTAAACATGCATGAAATACAAGTTTTTTCCATCTGCGTATGTCCTGTGAGGTCATTTCTTTCTCTCTTTGGACTTTTATGAGCACTGCAATGTGTTGCAGTGCATTTGTGCACATCGTTGTGCATTTGCAGTGCATAAAAATGCTGCATGCTTCCTTTTTTTTACTGCACTGTAATGGTGTGAACTACGCCCATAGGACAGGGTTGTCAAACTCAATTTCATTGGGGGCCACATCAGCATTATAGTTGCCCTCAAAGGCCGGTTGTATCTAAAAGACTAGATGTTGAGCGCACCCTACCCCTTCAACCCCCCCTTACCATCAGAAGTCGAGAATCCCCCAACCTCTCTATCATGACAGTACACCCCCTTTACCTTGTGCTCCTGCTGGTAAGTAGCTGGGGGAAAAGCTGGGAAGCAGAAAGTGCAGGGTCTGGAGGAGGACCAGAGGAGGGCTGAAGTCAGCTGCTGGAGTCTGCTGAATGCTGAGACCAGAAAGGTGCAAATGACCGGGTACTGCAGCTTCACAGGGAGGCACGTGATCTGTAGGAAGAGTTCTGTCCTCCTCTTTGCTGCTGACTGCTGAGACAGGGGGAGACAAGCCTCTCTGCAGCTGCATGAAGAAGTGCAGGATCTGGCGGAGGAGTTTTGTCCTCCTCTCTACTGCTGAGACAAAATGGGGGTGGAGACAAGGGGAGTGCCGCAGCTGCATGAGAGGTGCAAGGGTCACATGAAATGGCCTGGCAGGCCAGATTCTGCCCACAGGCCCTGTGTTTAAAACATATGCCATAGGATAACCCGGATTTTGGACTGTCTTTGCAGTTGGAGTCAAAAATGCATCCAACTACATCTGGTGTGAATGGGTCCTTAACAAGGTAATGTCTGAATTTGTAAAGCATTTGGTACATGCAAAGTGGCTATTGAGTATTATATCTAAATTACATTTTATGTGCCCAGAGTTCTGCTTCAAGCCCTCACACTCCTTATGCCATGCCCTATCAAGCCTGCCTGCATGGTACTTCAGGTGTATGTTCATTGGTATCAACTATGTTGATATATTTTTTAAATATATTCTTCAGATTTCTTTTTAACATATAAAAAAGTAATTTTAACATATATTTTTACACATATTTGTAAATGCATTCCAAAAATGTAGATTTGTATTTTTAAAGACATATAGTATATTTGAAATGTATTTTTAAAAATATTTGTCATATATTTTGTAATAAAAAACACATTTCAACATGCAGTATATATATATATATATTTATTGAAATATATTTTGAAGTATATTAAATATGGCCAAAATTTTAGTATTTCAAATATATGACAATATATTTGGGAAGAATATTTTTAAAATATATTTCAAATATATTTTTCTTCCATGTGGGTACTGAGACTGGAACGGAAGAAAAAAAAAAGAAAACGGTAGAACCAAATGCTTTCTGATTTATCACTCTCATACATACTACAGAGACTAATAAAACATGAATGGTATACATTCAGCCTCTACTGTTTATGGGAACAGTCAGCACTTAAGGGTGGATATTTCCGCAGCTCATTAAGTACAGGACGGCACTCAGCCCTCTACATACATCTATGTTATATCTCTCCCCATCTTTTTATCACATATCCCTTGTTGAAAACTTCAGGCAACCAGTGGGTATTCTATATGCAGCAAAGACTGTGTACAATCTCAGCATATTTCCCATGACCTTAAGCTTTAAGCAATTCCATCGCCATGTAAAGAATTAGCATCACTTCGTGTATTATACAAGTATAGAGACTGCAGACTGGCCAGCATCAGCTTTTGTGTACTCTCAAGTTCCAGTCATTTTAGGCCCAATGCCAAAACTGGGCCTCCAAATATAACACAGCGATACTGAAAAGGTTTCTTTCTTTTAATAGATCATAGGGGACATTTATCAATTCTGTCACACAAAGCAAGACGATGGTAAACAGGACAGATTGTGTGACAGATTTATTATAAGAATATAGCTTAACCGCGTACATAAACGGCCGGACGGGAGCAGTGCAGGAGCGGTGGCCGTTTATAAACGTCCTCCCGCATTCCCTGCCTGTGCACGCTCCCTGTGAGCGCGCGGCACCACGATGTGGTGCCCGATGTGTCCTCCGGACACAGCAGAACACTGATCGCTGTACGGGACCTCTGTGTGATCACTAATCTGCCAATCAGTGATCACATGTAAGCAAGATGTCACTTCCTGAAGTGTAGCCTGTGGGCGCTTCCTGGGAGCGTGTGGCACCGCGACACAGCGGAACACCGATCGCTGTACGGGACCTCTGTGTGAGGTCCCGTTCATGTGATCACTGATTGGCCAATCAGTGATCACATGAATAGTAGTAAGCAAGATGTAACTTCCTGACATCATTGCTTACTACTTGTGAAATCTGTGAATGATCACAGAGGTCACATGGTACAAGGCTATTCACAATAGCCTTGTACCATGTGACAAGCTGTGACCAATCACAGCTCTCACAGTATTTCTCAATGGCTGCAAGAATGCAGCCAGAGAGAAGTAGAGATGTTTGCTTTTACAGCCTTTATGAGTGTAAAAGCAATCAGTGTAGAAAAAAAAAATCTTCATCACCCCCCACAAGTAGTACAGTGTCCCTATGGTGACACTGTACTGCTAGGGTGACAGTATGTTAAAAAAAAAACCACAAATAATAATATTAAAAAAATTATAATTTTTGGTTATAAACTAATTTGGGTTATTTTTTTTTTACTAAAAAGATAACTGAATACATTTTGGCCAAGATTTATGAAGAAAGATTATTTGCAAAATTTTATAAGAAAAACACTTTTTTTTCAAAATGTTTGGACTTTTTCATTTATATAGCAAAAAAATAAAAAACCCTGTGGTGAATAAATACCACCAAAATAAAAAATGTTATCTGTCTCAAAGAAATGCAAAAAAATTCATATGGGTACAGTGTTGCATGACTGCGTAATTGTCATTCAAAGTGTGATAGCACTGAAAGCTGAAAATTGGCCTGGACAGGAAGGGGGTGAAAGTGTCCGGATTGAAAGTGGTTAAGTCATAATGTCCTCCCTCTGCTGCCGTAAAGTAGCATTTTGACAAAATAAATCCTGACCCTGACCACTTCTTAACCATCTGTTTAGAGTGAAAAGTAGTTGCACGCTGAAAGAAAAATAAATCTAACAGATTCTTGAATCCACACAAGCGAGGTAGATGGAGGAATCCCTCCCACTGGAACATTGTATTTTGACAGCGGGACCCCCCCCCCCCCCTGTCGGAATACAATAATCAGTGTCTGCAACCGACTGGCTGCATGCGGAGGTGGACAAAAATTATCCACCATGTCCCTTCGACAGAATTCGGTCAAATGATCCGACTTCTGACAAGCATGGACGGCCAAACATTGTCCCTGCTGAACTGGACAATTTTTGATCAGTGTATGGCCGGCTTAACAAAGGGTTAAATATCTTAACGCTTGGGTGGTACATTGTGTGTTTCTAAAATCGGTCCCTTAATTGCGAATTGCAAAACAAGCTGCATACAGAGTGTTATGTATAAGCCTGTTACAAAGACTAGAAACAACAAACAACTATAATGGTAAAACATTTTTTTCAATAATTTTTTTACGAAATGCAGTGTGAATGGGAATACATAAACAGCCATACATTGCAAAGGTGGAAATACACTTTAATGACACAACACACAAAATCAAGGACATTGCAAGAGACGTCCATAGCCAGTGAGACTTCAGCTTTTTACTAGCAATGATAGACATTGAAAGTTTAACATATAGTGGGGGGCTTTATTTTTTTCCTGCACTATAGTTCTAGTTTACTTTAGTTTTTAAGAGTTAAAGTGAATATATACTCATTAATCGCTTTCCCGCCACACTATAGCAGATATACTGCTAAAGGGTGGCAGGGGTGTGCAAAATCCTGTATATATATACGTGATTTTGCATTTCTGGGTAGGGGGTGCGCGCCCTACCCATGCTGCTATTCACGGCCTCGGCTGTCAATCACTGGGTTCCGGCCGGTGATTACTCGCCGGCACCCAGTGATCACGGAGCATTACCGACGGAGGGAGAGAACTGTATGTAAACATACAGTTCTCTCCCGTCAGCTGCTGCACACTGCTTTGCATGGCTCTGCATAGCAGAGCTATACAAAGCAGTGTGCTTACAGCCAGGGGCGGACTGACCATTCGAGCACTCGGGCACTGCCCGAGGGCCCAGGATCAGTAGGGGACCCCATGAAATGCCCCTGGTACCTTTTATAGGCTTTTTTGAGTGTGGGCAAGGACACAGGGGCCCATGATCCCCTATTGCCCAGGGGCCCCATGAGTTGTCAGTCCGCCCCTGCTTACAGTGGAAAGCACTAACACAGCCCACAGTAAAACAGCACACAGTTAACCCTTTGATCACTCCACATATTAACCCCTTCCTGCCCAGTGCCATTAGTACAGTGTCAGTGCTTTTTATGAGCACTGATCACTGTATTGGTGTCACTGTGGATGTCAGTGACACCAAGTCAGTTCCCCCCAGTGTCAGGATAACCGCTGCAGTCCCACTATAAGTCGCCGATCACCGCCATTACTAGTACAAATTAAAAATTCCAGTGTATATATACTTTAAGCACTATCATTTTCACATAAGCCAATTAATTTACACGTATTCAGATTTTTTTTAGCAAAGACATGTAGCAGAATACATTTTGGCCTAAATCTATGGTGAAATTTGAATTTCTTACATTTTTTTTACTGGACATGTTTAATAGCAAAAAGTAAAAAAATATAATTTTTTTTCAAAATTGTCGGTCTTTTTTTTTTTATAGCGCAAAAAATTTAAAACGCACCGGCGATCAAATACCACCAAAAGGAAGCTCAATTTGTGGGAAAAAAAAGGATGTAAATTTAATTTGGGTGCAGCGTTGCATGACTGCGCAATTGTCAGTTAAAGTAACGAAACTGTAACGCAAAAAATGGCCTTGTCAGGAAGGGGGGTAAATCCTCTGGAGGGCAAGTGGTTAATCTAACAGTTTCAGGAAAATGTAACATTCCCGGCACATGTCAGGAATATAACTGTGGTATTTGCTTGTGCTGTCAACCAGACTGTCAAACCATCAAATGGCTGGTGTCACAAATTAACACATGTGCAGCACCACAGCAGCTGAAGATCAAACAGAGGCTAAGATGGCAGCTTCTTTGTTTGAAATCAATGGGAGGGTTTTAGTTCTGCTTTAATAATGTTAATCAAATATAGAATTAAAAAAAAAACATTAGAGAGCTTTCTAGGGAACCTGAATGTACCGTAATTACAGGAGTTGGAAAAGTATAACCAACCCCAGTTCTGTGTGTTCTGAAGGTGAATCATAACTGCTACTTATTTTTTACATCAGTGGTTAGCTTACAGCGATACATGTGGAGAAGGCTTGTTTTACTGTCTCTGCTGATATTCTTCATGTGTATCGATGCCCTGTAATATCTGAAATGTAGCCCCATGGACCTCTTGAAGTCCTCATACACACTGGATGTTTTTACAGCTGCAGTTTTTGGCTTTTGATGTTTTTTTTTCTACAGCCAATAAACTCCCCAGCATGTTATCCTATGTGTCCATGCATACTAATGTCGGCCATAGATGGGTCGAAAATCGGCCAATTTTTCGGAGGAAAAAAAACCGGCTGATTTTCGCACTGTTGGGTTAATTGGTAGGCCATTTTTTGTTTTTTTTTGCACAGTTTTTTTATCGGTCATGTTGGAAAATTTGCGGCCGATTTGGACGATCGCCCAGTTTTCCCGGCAATGATTGGCAAATCGGCCGATCGTTTTATCGATAAAAAATCTGCACATGAGCCTGCATGGTTGCCAGCATTCTTTTTACTGTAAATGCACACACACATGTATATGTATGTATACACATATATATATATATATATATATATATATATATATATATATATATAGTTTGTGAAAGTCCAAAATTAAATTTTATTCCTAGAAAAGGTAATGAGGTTCTAAAAAAGGTTCTTTAAAATTTTCTATTTTCCAAGCAAAGATAGGTTTATAGGAGAAGAAAAAAAGAAGAAAAGAAGAAGTCCGCTATTATATTTTTATATGAAAAAGTCTTGCGGTTGCAACAAATGTATCCATTTGTATCCAAATAAAAACATAATGTATTTGTATTGCTGTCACATTGTATGGTGTGCTCCCCTGTCTGTCAAACTGGTTTCTTGTCCCATTCTTTCATGAGCATTGGTGGCAGCATCGGCAATGGCACAGACCGAGTTTTCGTTTATCGGCCGACAATTTGGCCAATAAATGGCCCGTCTGTTGCCTGCATAAGACTGTAATCAGCGTTTTTTAGCTGGGGTGTTTTTTGGCTGGAAAAAAAAAAAACAGAACTAGTGGGTTTCTAGAGGAGTTTTTTAGCTGTAAAAACACTCTAAAGCTGAAAAACACGGTAAATTGTGTCAAACCCGCGTTTTTGGACTTTTATTGACCCCCAAGAAAACTGGGGGGTAAAAAAAACTCGAAAAATGGAAAATGCAAAAAAAGCGGCAAAACGCTAATACAAAAACACTAAAAAACGCAGGAAAACGTTTAACGTGACTTTACACAGCTAACGTTACCAGCATTATTAAAACGCCCCATGTGCATGGAGCCAAAGGTGGGACTGCAGTGTACTTAACCTCCCTGGCGGTATGATTATTTCAGATTTTTGGTGCTGAAAGCGGTACCATTTTTTTGCATGGAAATATGTATTTTTTTTATTGTAGGCTGTAATTTTTAGGAAAAACTCACTGAAATCTGTCCGAACAAGAGTCTAGTAAACATCCCGGGTATGATAAAATTTGAAACACAAAATCATAAATTATAATTTAATAAATAATCATAAAAATAATAAAAAATAATAAAAAATGTAATTCAATAATATAATCAAACCAAAAACACTGAAATGTGAAATAGAGCGCCAAGTTCGCACATTGCTGAGCTCAGTCGCAAAATCGTTTTCAGTTTCTGATGACGAATTTCCCCCACGAATCATTATCACTCAATTCTGTAAGTGGTTCTGATTTACTATCGCTGTTCTCTAGCTGATCTAAACCGCTTTTGACCTAAAGGGACACTTTTTGGACGCCATGGACATTTCTCAGTTTCCAGGCAGAAAGAACAGACAAAATGCAGGCAGGGCGCAGGACAAAGCACTAGGGACAATATGTATGTGAAATAGGTTGAAACAGCAATGTTTTACTGTGTAAAATGAAAAAAAAAAAAAATGACATTTTTTAAAATTTTTAAATTTCCCGCCGCCGCCGGCGGCGGCGCCCGTACGTCCCGACGTCACAGGGACAGGACACAGAAGCCGGATGCTGGCATCGGCCGGAGGAGATGGCCGGGGACGCTGCAGGGGACACATCGTGGGAGCGCAGGGTAAGG